CTCTCTCTCTCTCTCTCTCTCTCTCTCTCTCTCTCTCCCGCCTATGTTGAAAACGTGGAAAATGATAATCACAGGAATAAGGAAAAGAAATATTCTGTATTTCGTGACAACAATTTCTTATTCAAGGTCTGTGAAATATGCAGGTTTATCATCCTAATATTGACTTGGAGGGGAATGTCTGCCTCAATATACTCCGTGAAGATTGGAAACCTGTTCTTAACATTAACACCGTTATCTACGGATTGTATCACCTTTTTACCGTATGAATTTGATTCTTCCACAAGTAGATTGTCATTGTACTTTAACTACAACTTAGCATATCATATTCTGGTTGCATGTGCATGGATTTTTTGAAGCCGATAACACTTGCAATGTTTGGTATTTATATGCAGGAGCCAAATTATGAGGATCCTCTCAATCACGATGCAGCTGCAGTGCTGAGAGATAATCCAAAGATGTTTCAATCGAACGTACGAAAGGCTATGATGGGTGGATACGTGGGGCAAACGCACTTCCAGCGGTGTATGTAGTAACATTTGAAGGTGCTCATTGTAAATTTCGACTTAAAAATTTCAGTGTCATCTTTCGACCATTTCTTTATAGCTGGGACATCGGTGTGCAAAATGTATGCTCATAACTTACTGAATCTTATGGCCTTGATTTGCTAGTTTTACCATGTTAAACAAGAATCAGCTTGTTCTAAGATTTACTCCCATTTATTTATGAAATCTGTTTCTTCTACACTGGCTATTCTTGTGTTACTGCTTAAAATTCAAATACAGCGGCCGGCAGCCATAAACCAGATGGGACTACCATCATTGAAACATGCCCCCTCGGCAACTCGAAGGCCTCACAGCAGACCCTGAAAGTGGGATAAATCTTCTCTGCTGGAATTTCGAATAGTAAAAGGATACCTCAAAATGTGTACATAATTCAATGTTATAAAAAGTGTAAAGCGTGATCACATGAAAATATTAAGTTTGAAGCTTTTACGATTTTAAGCAAGTCGGGGCGTAAAGCATGATTATAAGGTGAAGTATACGCATGCTTTTTAAAATATTGACGTAATTTATAAGTAGATAGTGAAGATTCTTTTTCTTTTTTATTTTTTTTATTTTTTATGTTTATGGTTTGCTTGGGTCTACTTAATATATGAATCAACATCTATGGTCGTTGTACATTGTGGTCCCTTTACTTTAATATGTTAAATAGTTTATTGACTTTGATTATCACTCTTATAATTGGTGTGCTAAAAAATTACTTTGTTCTCGTTTGAATTTCATTACATTAAGGTTTCGTTTGGTAC